TCAGTTAAACAGGTCGATAAATAATACTCATATATATGCTTTGATTAAATACGTCATCCTGCCGTCATCACAACAACATCATCATGGGATTGCATATACTTATATATATGAATTAATTTATAAACATGCTACAATTGAATAAGTCTATTACGTAGTTATTCTTTCGTCAAAGATAACAACAGATCATGTGGTGAAAAGTTAAACAATAATGAAATCTTCATTTTGTTCTTCAAACAATAATTAAAATTGCGCTACCTGTATAATATAATCATGGTGGTCTATAACTAGTTCAAAATATTTTTTTTTAATATGTATATAAAAAACTCACATGGTGAAATGATTATCTGTCTTATATAGTTACATATATTATGTGTATATATGTGTATGTGAATGTTTCGCATGTTTTCACTATGGTGGCAAAAATTCAAACAATAACAACAACAACAGAAATAAAAAAGGTAAACTAAGTAATATGACTTAGTAAAGTTTCCTTTATTTAGAAATATTTCAAGTTTTAATTTTGATTTAACTAACAAAAGCATTAATAATCGGTGTGATAATTCATTCCTACAACAACAACAGCAGCAGCAACAACAACAACAACGACAAACTATTAACTTCCATATTTCAGTAACAAAGCAAGTAGTATAGTATAGTAAAAATGTTTAGCTTATATTCTTTCCTCACAGTTATTTATTAGTTAGTAGTAAACTCGATTACATTTAGTTTTGTCATGATCATTATGACCTAAGAAGTAGTTATGTTTTGTTTCATATATATTGTTTGTAATTTTTCAAGCTAGTTTCATGAAAAAATAACGTATAATATCAGAGTATATCGAATAATACAAACTGTTTCACAATATTTATAATACAATAAATAAATGAAAAAACTGCAATTATTAGATACTTACATATCTATTAATAAACTTTAAGGAGAAGGTAAACTAAATAACCGGTTTTAGCTATCATCTGTTTCACTACTGGTTTGATTTGCTAGCATCTCTTCTTTTATATATGCAACAGGATAATAAACACCTTTTTCACTTAAATCTTTTCTAATCATGTTGTTTTCTATCTTAGCCAGGAAGCAAACAAATATATAAAGTCACTGATGGTATACACTTTTTTTCAGCTAAGACAGTTCATTTATTGATTTTATAGATTATATACACGTATCAGTTTATTGATCAATAATTAACTCCTAGTTCAAATTTATTTATTGATTAAACATTCAAAGTTATAAATATATTTGTATATAAAAGTTATTGTTTTTGATATTAAACAGTGGTTCGTGAATAAATCAGTCTCCTTCTGAAATCTTGTTTTCATCTTCACATTATTAACATGCCAGTCGCGTTCTCCGTTACAATGAGTATTATATTAATTATGACTCAACAATCATGATAAATACTGGCATAAATCAATATTTATTACAATTTCCAACATAATTTTGATTTCGCCTGACAGTATAGTTCTTTTTTTTAAACAATGAATCAGTTGGCATTAAAAGAGAAAGAACGTATTTGTAAAATCTCAGCGAAAAAATTTGAAGTAAATCCAACGTTTCGCCTGGTAATCTTGTTCAAGCTTTTCCAAATACATTCTTCCTCTTTAATGACTCACATCAACTCGGCGCCCAAATACTGTGAAACTATTCGGTCAAATTTAGACGAAATTTCTTATTTCTTATAGTGAATCAGTTGTTTGTGAATGATCATAATTCCACTTTAACAAACCGACAATTCATAAAACATTTTTTAAAAGTTACTAGAAAATAGTTTGGGTTTATCATGTTAGTTAATTCTAACCGAATCGCTCTCTGCATGTCAATAGGAGTAAACCATTATCATTGATGTTCAGATTAGTTTGATACAGTCTAAATAATTATTGACTATTAAATAATACATTTAAAATTAGTAAATTTCGTTTAAATAACAGGTTCCAAGAGTGTGACGATTAAAAATTTTCATAATCAGTATAAAGTTGTGGAGATTATTGCGTTTCATTGATATTATGAACCGATCAATGTTAAGTAATCATGGAAAACCTACTAGGGGACTCTTCAGTCGTCTGTAACTACGACCTCACATGCAGGAATCGAACCTAAAACTTTCGGTCTCGTGCGCCAACGCTTAATCTCTAGATCACTAAACCCAGAATCCAACCCTAAATCTGTTTCCTAACCCTAACCATCAACTGTTAATCATCATTCTTATTCTTCAAACTGCTTTATAACCCTCATTTAGCTCTAGTAAGTAGGTAAACACTCTCAAAGTCACTTAAGCGTCGCCCGAATGTCCATAAATTATAGTTTCACCCATTTTTTGAGAAAAAAACTTAGATAGTAAATATAATTATTATTTTCTTAAGTATTTGATATATACTCAATCAATACTGCATTATTGAACAAAAAATCAACAAACTGAACTCTGATTTACAAACAGAGATGGATGGTGGCTAGTAGTAGAGTCTAGGACGTACATCTGATCCTATTTGGGACTCGTCAGCTGGATGTACTTGCATCCCAAAGTTGATGTTCACTCGAATCTAGTATCATCTCCTCAAACGCCATCACATTATCCCCTAAGCTACTGAGTCTAAATAGCCACTGGTTTGTGTAATGCTGAGGGATATTAATTCATTTTGTATTGGTTGTTTGAATCTTTTGATTGATGTTTAGGACTGTAATTGATCAGTCTCTTATTGGCATATATACATTCTGTGAGGACTGCATCGATATAACCTTCATTCACAAGCATTATGAGCAAAGATGGATAGTGGCTAACAGTGGAATCTATGAGGCGCGTTTCGCCTTATTTGGGACTCGTCAGTTGGACATACCATCCATCTCTGCTTATGATACCTATTATGAAGTTTTTTCGCCTGTGTGAAAGCACAGGATGCACATATGCCAATAAGAGACTGATTAATTGCAGTACTAAACATCAATGAAAAGATTCAAACAAACAATAGAAAAATGAATTGAACTCTGATTTGTTTTTTTTTTTCATTTACACCTATGTTGAGATATTCAGGAAAATATCCCAAAAATTATCCTGTTAAGCCTAATGCTATCCTTGGACATGAAATGGTATCATCTTATTGGTCAATATTTGTTTAACGTGTCATTTTCCTACTGGCCATTATTGTACAATGTTATTTTCTATTTTATGGTACGTTGTGGTCTGCTTGACTGGTATATAAACAAAGTATGTTTGAAATATAATGATTCATAACTCAGAGGCTGTGACTAGCGTTCTGAACTTAGCTGGCTGGGCTAGACAGGGAAGCGGGACCGATCAGAACCCTAGGTCGTTCTACGTGTTTGCGCGTCTTTGGTCCGATCAATAATTCGCTACCCTTAATCAGCAGCATTTTCACAGTTATAACACCCTACTTAGCAGTAAAGTAGATTAGATGGTGGTTGGAGATAGTCGACAGGAAACGCTGGACCCGGGTTTCGTGCTACTTGGCACTCGTCAGCAAGGTGTACCTGTAATCTTGAAGGAACCGGTGCTTAAACTTAAAGAAAAAATAATCACTTTTATGAATGTTGTTTTTTATTGAAATTCTGTATAAACTGAAATGAATTCATGCTAAAATAATTGACATTTTATCTCTTGATAGATTATTGTAAGATAAGACGAAAACAATACACAGATATTTTATCCCAATTGAATATGTCTTAGTAAACGGATTACAAAGTGTAATGATTTAAGTGTTCACACTATTTGGTGTACGATTTCTTTTTTCCTTAATCACCAAACTGTAATGTTTTCACTGAAATCAAATTTTTGTATAGTTTAATAATGAAGACAGAAACAATATTGTTGAGTAATTTTGGTTGTAACTGACCCGACTATCTATAATCATCTATATTATTGTGTCATTTTAAAAATGGATTTTTCTACAATTAACAAGTGAATTAAATTATATAATACTGATAAAGAGAATTGAATCATGATGGTTGTACTGAATATAATTATTTGTACTTAAAGAGATATCACTTATCGTTTGACTATATTATTTAGTGGTCTACTAACTTATGTACTTACACCTGTTATCTTTCGTGGAGGAACATAAGCCGTCCACCAGGATTCTTCATTGAACTATGTTCTTGGCTCTCCTTTCTAGTTGTTGCCAGTTGCTATTCATCCTTTTGATGTCTGCTTCTGATTCACGACGCAATGTGTTCCTTGGTCTCTCCCTCTTTTTTCTCCTTCAGGATTACAAGTTAGAGCTTACCTCGTAACGTAGTCTGATGATTTCCGCAAAATTTGTCCTGTCCACCTTTAGCGTCTTCTAATTTCCTCTTCTTTTGGAAGTTGTTTTGTTCTGCCACACATTAGGTTGCTGCTGATGGTATCCGACCGACAAATATTGAATATTTTACATAGAAAATTGTTTATAAATACCTGTACTTTCTTGATGTTGGTTGTAGTATTTCTCCACGTTTCAGCTCCATACAATAGAACTATCTTGACGTTCGCATTGAAGATCTTGACTTTAATGTTTGCTGACAGTCGTTTTGAGTTCCATATCTTCTTCAGTTGTAGGAATTCTACTCTTGCTTTCTCAATTCTTACCTTTACATCTGCATCAGATCCTCCCTGTTTATCGATGATGCTCCCTAGATACGTGAAGGCTTCCAACTCTTCCAGATTTTCTCCATCAATTATGAGGATCTTGCTTTTTCCATTGTGCATGTTGAGGCATACTGTTTCAGAGACTGCTGCTTTTTAATGGTTCACGTCAATCCAATACAACTTTATTAAAACAGTTTAATTCCAAAATGTACTTTTTAAAATGTTATTTTACTGTTTATTAAAGATATTGTCTCATCTGTAAAATATATTCTGACAAGTGTAATACCTAACTAGTGTAATATGATTTACGGTCGTTTTTAAAATAATTTCCAAATGATATTTCACTTTTTTTCTTCTTTCAGTAATATCGAACTATTATTATCGGTATTTTTTGTCTATTAATTGTACCTAGGTATGTTTTTCACGTCATGATTTATCTGCTCATAATGCCGCCACTCATAAACAAGATCCTCGACCGTATAGATGTGAACAATGTGGTAGACAATTTTCAACATGTGCCTACCTATCACAACATAGACGTATTCATACCGGTGTGAAACCGTACGCATGTCGTTATTGTGATCGTCGTTTCACTCAATTAAGTCATGTACAACAACATGAAAGAATACATACAGGTGAAAAACCATATCGGTAAGCAGTTATTGATGTTTTTCTGCTTTTTTTAATGCTTTTTTTACTTTAAAGTTTGCAAAATGTCTGCTGATTATAAAGATCCTGTAAATTATGTAAATTTTATGAATGAAAGACAATTGATTAATTTAAGCAATTTCACGTGTTTTATTTATTAGTTTGGAACTAAAACACAAGTGTTAATATCGAAACACATCAATCTAATTTGACATTTGGTGCCAGATAAAAGTTTTCGGTTTTTAATAATTGTTAAAATTGAATCTACATGTAGTATTTGAGTGATACTACTGTTGATTCATATCCATGACATCTTAAGATTTCAAACTGAGAATATATAGTGAATTTATTTCATTTCTTATCTTCATCTCTCTATCTCCCTGTTTGTGTCTGTCTATGATCATACCACTGTCTTTTCAGATCCACTGAAATTTAGTGAAAACATTAACTAAATAATATCAAGTCATAGTTAACATGATCACTGAGTAGTAACTAAAATGTCATATTCTTCTGGTTGTTTATCGTTGATGGAATTTTATTTGGCTAGCTACCATTTTTTCACTAGTTCAAGTGATTCGCAAGATTGAACTGTGAAACTGGTCTTGAATCAGGATTTTAATCATAAAGTAAACATAATTGCCTTCGAGATTCTAGTCAAGGCATTTGTTCGGGTGGAAACTAGTACAAAACCTGAGATGAGACTAAAATTTCTGATCAAGTTTTATTCATACTGTTTATTCAATCGATCTAATTATCTTTGAAAGATTATTTCAATGACGTGAATGCATAACGTGTAATTTCATTTCGGTTGGTTGAAAGTAAGAAGGTATAAAACTATGACAATCGTCTTATATCTCCATAAAATAAACGTGATATCAAGTATGTCAGACTGATGACGGCCATACTGCAAGTTGGTTGATTGAATTCAATCACTATTTAAAAGATTAGACAACTGGATTTAAAAGCCAACTGTCTACTACTACCTGTCACCAGATAACATTTACGGAAAGTATGCTACCCAAAGAAAATGAACAGGTTTGTTCATGGAACAAGCTATCAATGTGTAGCTTCATTTAATCCATGTTGAAAAAGAATATTAGGCTCTGAGTGAATTGTGCACCATACTTGATTACTTTTAAAGTTAAATTTCCTATCGAAAACTATCTCATCATATATTTTTATTACTTAAAGCTGGGTTTTTTCTAACTAAATAGATTAAGTCAACTTCTTATTAGAACAACTTTTTATGAATAGTCAATAACTGTTAATCGAGACCATAAGTAATGTATTTTATTAATTAAATTCTTTAAGGGAACTCAATCGAAGTACATAAAGAGTACAATGAAACTGGTGATGGAATATATTCCACCTTTCGTGTATGTTTGTGATATGAAGGCAAAATAGTGACACATTTTTTGCATTGTATCGAGGCTCAAATAGTTCGATTGTTGGATTGATCAAGTTTGAGTGTTGACTACTTCACTTAGATTGTATGTAGGACCAATGATTTTTACATTAATCAAGTGACACGATGCTGTTGAAATGACAACCAAGATGAACGCTTAACGATGACTAGCAATCCTGAATTCAGTTCACCTATGCTCATTCACTCGATAACCGAAATAGGATACAACGCACAGTCGTTAAATAACTTCGATTTGTATAGGTCCAATTCTATGACCCAAATGACAACATTATAGAGTAAATTCTTGACGATACATCAACAGGAATACCTACACCATAAGTGGAAGACGACCAAGTGATAAGTTCGTAATTATCAAACAACGTTTAAAGAAAAGTAAAACACAACAATAGTTTAGGCGTCCAACGAAAACATGCAAACAGGGGAAATAAAATGATACAATAATCCAAGTAATTAGAATTATGTAATAAAAATAAACTGACAATTTGATAGAATAGTTCTAGAAGTTCATTTTTGCTCAATATTTACCCCGTTATAGTAAATAGCTGTTTATCGTTTATTGTAATTAATCTAATGTTAAGTGGTTGATGGCATTTGACAGTGATCCCTAAATATTATATTTTCGAGCTATTTCTCTGTAGTAAGCACTAAATTTCTACGAATTTGGAGAATATAATGCTTTCTATGTGGCTCTGATCTGCGTAATAAGATGTTAAATTCAAAGGTGTTAGTATTAAGCTACTGTTGCCGAAATTATCATCCCCTAAGACTGAGATTTTCATAGTGGTTGATCACTGAGTAAAAATAGTAAGAAAGAATATTCTAAGATTGACTGAAAGAAAACGCGTTAGCGTATACTGTTAAGCCATTAGTTATTTGAATGTTTTAAGGTAACTGTTTAATTTAATGTTTGCTTAAAATGTTGGTAAATAAACTATATGGAAAATGATATTGTTAAATAAACTAACATTGGTTGGTTCATGATCTCAATGAAATTAAACGATCTCCACAACCCGATACTAGTAATCATGTGCTCACTAATGACCAGCTTCAGGAGGAAATTCTTAAGGTTATAGTGAGAAGACGTTACTAGAGGAGTTCAGCCGTATCTAGTAAGAGACAGTTACCCACAGAAGACAAGGAAGATGGTTACGCATTATCATGGATTGATTTCAGTTGGATACTAACACCGTTGGATGCCAGCTCAGTGAACTAGAGGTTAATCTTTGATATACGAGACCGAAAGTCCTGGGTTTAGTTCCCTCTTGTCAACGTATCTTCGATGCTGGTCACTGAGAAATCTCATACGAATCGGTTGTTCAGTGCTTTCAGGCTATGTTTATCTGAAATTGATTAGTTCATGATCTCAATTAAACTGTGGTGTATGGTGCTTATATCTGTCGACATAATTGGCATGTAACACCATTCGGAAGAGGAAAACCTGGCAGCAGAAGGCTAAGAAGATCGAGTTGAATAGAAGAAAAAATAGAAAGAAATTATGAATTGGAATAGTCATACGGAATGTCAAGGACAAGTGATAGAAATTTGCAAATGAAGTATGCAGTTTATGGTTGTCATATATTATCAAGATATATATACAGTGGCTGTCCCAACTTGTGTTTTCGCTCATTAGGAAACTATAATTTATCTGTTCAAAAAAAAGTTGTCAAACTTGACAAATCTCAGGAAATTCTAGGGAGCTGTTGTTTACTTACGTTGGTTAGATTTTCTTTATTACTATTTCTATAATATACATCGTTTCTATTCGTTAACTAACAACTAACTACAACCATTTACAATGATTAACAAATTGAACATGTTTACAAATCGTTTTGTTTACTTAAAACATTTAAGATATTTTAATTTTTGATGAAAATTTATGGCAAGGTCTTTTTTCTAGCATTACAAATCATTATAATGGTAGATTGATCATTAACAATGAATAATCTTTTCGTTACAATAATATAACCATAGACAAAGTGGAGATTATTATTATTATTTTCATATTTAAATATTGAACACGACTATTATTCCATATGTATGTACACACATAATGTGAAAATCAATAAATTAGTTACTATGTACATGGATTCATGCTTGCACTGAATATTTTTTCAATACAATTATTAATAGAATATTCATTGAATCTACAAATTTCACTAAGTTTCAGTTACTTTTTTTCTTATTCCATAATCTGTTATTCATTGTCTATATTCAGTGATTGATAAGAATCCAATGCTGATCTTTTCACATCATTTATTTTATATTTTGTTTGATTTTTTCAGTTTGGTAATTTGTGCATTTTTTTATTTGTAGTATTTTTGTCAAGATTTTTTAAATTTTAATCGTCCTCCCCCCACATCATCGGTCAAATGGTGTTTTACTCTCGTGTGTCAACCCATGGACTTACTCTATATTTCAGTTTTATTAACAAATTCATCCGATAGTAAATGGCAGACCATGTTAGAGTATGTGTTTATGAGTAGATTTAGATATATAAATATTTGGATGATTTTCTAAGGTGAATGAATAAAGACAATTCTACTGAAGATACATATGTGAGAGTGAGACAGAAATAAGGATACTGAAGATGGTATTGTTAAATTGGTCAGTATAAGTAGAGAAGTATGTTAGACAGTAGGCAACATGGCTAAAAGCAAAAGAGTTAAGGGGTGAGGCATATGTTCACATATCTATGATAAATACACGGGAGGGGGGTGGGAAATAATGTCTTAAAAATGTTATAGAAAAAAGATACAACATTACTACTTATATATATATGACTAGACGGGGACAATCTGCCGATTTCTATAATAATCGCTTATTTTCAAAGTACTTTAACGTTGGGCTTTGGTATTGTGTACTAGTTTGCATGATTACTGTATATATCCATTAAACTGAAATGCGTGCGTACACATAAACACAAGTGCACAATCAAATGAATACAGACAGACTATAGATCAATATATACATATATATAGCCATGGAGAATAAAAATGGTCTAAATCTAGGTCAGTTCTGGTTTCCGGACATGTATGTTCAGCTATCTTACCCCATCTGAAACACTAACCCATGTATATGTTACAAAGATACAAAAATATACAGAATCCGTCTATCATCCCTTCAGGTTTTATTGTATGATTATTTCTCCCTTTTTTTAATTCTTTACTAGCTGTAAAAAGGACTTCATAGGTCCAGGGAAGTATAAAAATTAAACATTTTCTTTAAATTTATAAAAATATAAATTACAAACGCTTTGTTTAATTTGACGTTTCTTTTGTGTTTAGTCAAATACTAGAGCAAAAAAATAAAAGAGAGGAGACATAGAAGAATTCTGTTGTCTTAATACATTCCAGTCCCTGGGTTAATCAGAATCATTACTCTTCAAGATAGGCAAGAGTTTAATAGAATTCACAATTTATTTCGACTAAATAGTTAATAGCTAAATGATTTCCTTGTATGTTGTTGTTACTCCATATCAGCCTAATTTTTTAAAATATCCTTTGTTGACCGATAACAGTTATGTTAAATCATTTCAATGTATATGACTGGTTGAGATATATAATAACTAAATAAATAGAGAATTACACAAGAAAGCAATCAAGTTGACAGAATTAAGATATCAGTATAGGATTGTGAAGATTGTTGAGCTTTATTTGAGATTATGGACTGACCAATGTTAGACCACAATTGAAAAACTTGGCACTGGATGGTCGTCTCATTCTAATATCGAATTCATCAGTTGGGCTCGTCCACGATCCAGGTTTTCAATCGTGATCTAACATTGATCAGTTAATGATCTCAACTTGAATTCAGATAATTCAACATGTACATGTTGAAAATTTAAATAGTTCAGTCATTCGACTGTTCAGTAATTAGATTGATACAGGTTCAAACTTCAGAATTACTTATCCTCATTTTAAAAATTGGAGTAGTAGTAATAGTAGTAGTAGTATTATATTAACACTTAGTTAAATAAGATTAGTTGAAAACTGGCTAAACGAATTCCCGGTTGGTTGGTAAGTTGTGTTAGTTAATTAAATTATTTAGATAGGTGTATTAAAAAAAGAACTAGAATAAACTTTTCTCTTAGAAAAATATATATAATATCTACCATTGTTGAATAGTCTTTATAGATTTTACAAATCAGGCAATGAATAAATTCAATTTGACAAATTAATTGAATGAAAGTAGTATATTTTATCAACATCAGACGATTATCATTGAGTTAAGAGAATTGGAATGTAAACAAATAACAGGTATCATTACCAAGGTTTGATTTGATTATTTCAAATAAATTGAGCATTGGGTAGATTGTTGTAAGTAATTAATATATTTGTAATATCTCAAATTTGGATTAATTTTAATTTGGTTATTTATTCTCTGAAGAAGTGACTTACACTAAGTCACGAAACGTCAGAAAATCTAATTTTCTACTCATTGGGATATTACAAATATATTATTTATTTATAAACAAATAACAGTTTAAATTCAGTTTAACCTAAATGTTTCCACTTTTTTATGTTAAAATGAATTTGATAAAAAAATATGATGAATATAGTTAGTTTACTACTACTAATAATAATAATAAGCTGGCCATCGTAATGAATCGAATGTAAGAGAATAATTCAGGTAATTTAAAATAAATGTAGCTAGTGATACTAGATAATTGCCAATTACATTTATTTTTAATCTTAAACCTAAGAGAGTGATACTCACGGTTATGACTCAGTGATACTTTTACAGATATGAAAATTTAAACATAAGAAAGATGGTTATCTCTTTACAAAAAATCAATATAAATATAATTTTCATTATATGCTGACATTTGGGAAATAGGTAGGATTTCAGTTTTCAATTGTATGAGTCACACTAGGTCGTTTTTTATCATGGATTTTAACATAATTAACTTGTGTTTTATAAGTTGAAGTCAATATTAAGATCTGTGATCACTTGATGCCAAACATCTTGTCATTTGTGATTCAGTAGTAGATTAATCAAATCCATTTTTGTACAGAAGTGAAGTAGTTAAGTTTAGATCATTTAGGCATCTTATGTATCACGTTTAGTATTCAAATTATTATTAAATATATTTTTGTTGTTTCTCTATAGTTCAAGATTACTTTAACCGTGATCTTGTTCACCAATTCATTATGATTTAAAGCTTGAACCATAAACATGACTCTTTAAATGATCTTTACCAATTTAACCAATGAGAATACAGAAAATAAGATGTTGAATAGTTCACGATGATGACAATGATCATAAGATTTGGGATTTAGGGTTAGAGTTAGGATTTAATTTACATACAGACTAATTATGAAAACATAATCTTCATAATAAATAATAATGGTGAATGATAAACGTTATTTGAAGGTAATCGTGTTTCCTAAGCTCTACATTCCTTATATACTTCAGTTTTACTCATAATATTTTTAAAACATTGTCAATTTTCATAAATCTTTAAGAGTATAGAACCAAACAAATATTTGAAATTGAATAAATAGGATATATAACGATCTTTCTTGTTCGTTTTTTTTACTAAAAGTTAAAGTGAAACCCACTAATCAGTGCTACCTAATATTTTCCTTAACTGAATTTTTCAATTAATAACACTCTTCTATCTCAACGATCATCAAATATAACTTGATAATTTGTCAACATTAAAACAGGATATTCCTAAAGAGTTTTGAAGGATAGTTCACATCCATAGGTTTGGTTTAGTTAGACAACTGAACAGACAGTTTGAAGTAATGTGAACTATTTTCAAATTGAACAGTTTCTACAAATCTTTCTATCGTAATTATGGTCGTGTGAAAGATTGGAAGAGATGAACTGAGTAGAGTTAGTTCAACCATGTCCAAATAATGAAATAGATATTATCCATATCATTAGTCACATAGTATCTCACAAATTAATCAATGTCAGAAATGTTGTAGACTATTTGAATGTCAACTGTGGTGTGTTCTACTAATGTCGACAGATATAAGTAGTATGTGTCACCAAATAAAAGTGGAATGCCTGGCATCAGAAGGTTGTGAAGATCGAAGAGAAGAAAATGAGAGCAGATAGTGATTTTTATGGAAATGAAGGAACAAAAACGTCTGAGACAATTGATGGATATTTTGCAAATTAAGTATTTACTGTATTGTTCTCAGATTTTAATAAGAGATTCTGTAATTTTGTATTCCGATACATTTGGTTATCTCCGTCTATGATCTCGTTCGCTACAGTAATAGTCTGAAAATAATCCCCTCTTACAAAAATAGTTAAACCTGGAAGTCCCAAGTTTCAATAATTGATAGATAGTTTTACAGTTCAGTCTGTTGAATGCTAATTGTTTATGAACTCGTAGAACAAAAATAGATTTTCAGGATTCAATAAGTGAAATCAGTCAATATGATAAAGTACATCATGTTTATGTTTTATTTTTTACACATCCCAACAAGTACATTTATTACATTTGTCATTATATACTATTACACTATTGTTAAATAATTTCAATGAGAGAGAAAGAAATACGAAGAATATCATCAAAGAATTTCATCAAAAAAAACTTGAATTTGCTACTACAGGGAATCATGATAAGCACAATTCAAAGAAGACATATTAGGACGGTAGGTGAAGATTTATTTAACACAGCAAATTCATGGTAATATTTTAGATACACTTATTTTCAATACAATTGTATTTACAGTCAGACTATCAGTCAGATTTGTCTGAATTGAATCTCATAGTACTTGATATGAAATGAATTAATAACTTAGTTTACTTCATCCTATCATTAAACAAGGTATAATAAACAGAAATAACTAATTTACTTCGATTTATAATTACACCTGAAAATGTGGTCACATGTCAAGGTCGACTGAGGAAAAGAAGAAGAATTTCTTAAATGATTTACACCAATAACGTCCTTATGATCAAGTTTGTCACATTGTTATACACAGTCAAAATATAAAGGTTTACTTTCATGTGTTTTATATTTTACTTTTATTATTTACGTGATTACATCATTCTTCTCTATATATTTATGTATATCTTTTCTTCTTTTCAATGTATATGTATAGTTGTACAACATGTATGAAAAGTTTTACACAAATGTCTAATTTACAATCACATCAACGTCAACATATGAAAGGTAAACCATATCGATGCGAACAATGCTTCATGTCATTCGATACAAAAGAAGAATTAGATGTACACGTACAAGCAAAGCATTCGGGTAACCGATATGCGAAGGTGAGTAAAAAAGTGCGTAAAAAAACAAACACTTAAAATTTATTAACACAAAATAGTCAAACAATTATTGTCACATTTTTATTTAAATATTAATATTGTTTCCTTGTTTCGTTGTAATTTGTCTCTCAGTTCAATCTTGTTGGTTTGATTGTTCATCGTTTTTGTTTTATTTTTTGAAAAAAAATGGAGAATAAATCAAGATGTCAGGTAACAATCATTGAAAACCCATAAGTGTTGATTCAAATCATGTGAAGAAAAACTCCATACTAGAAACGAATTATCGCGCAAATAATAATCATGTTCTTTGACTAGCATCTTAGTCGAACAATTAGCGAAGACTAGGAAACAGTGAACAATCGCTTAGCTGTTTCATCTTAGTGTTGAAATCACAAGCGTTATACGTTCAAGATTCCACTGGGACTCGAACCCAGGGCTTTCAAGTCTCATAATCGGCATCCAGTAGTTTACATGGTCAGTCCCTATTGGTTTTTGGATAGATATTGCAATGTCAGTGTTATCTGATTTTCAGTGATTACTTAACCAGGAAGGTCACTTTATGGTTCATATAATGAAATCCAAAAATCTTCATGAACTCTCTATATCGTAGTGAATATCATATTTTTGTTAAACTAACAAATTTTTTGTACTGATAGAAAGTACTTAAATATTCTTGTCCTGGTTTACACTTATTTTATAAAAGATTCATATATATATATATATATATATATATATATATATATATATATATATGTATATATATATATATATATGAGTCAAATCCTCCATTCAAGGATGCTGAAATCAGAGTGACGCTAGATTCAAATCTGCTACCTACCGATTGAATATCGAGTGTTACTATGTCATGTTTTATCACACAGAGAGATCAGGAGTAAGTTGAGTGCAAAGTGTATGACTTATGTTTTACAAGAATAATAATACTTGTCAATTGTTTGAAAGATATCACAACCATATTCTCAATACAACCAAAAGATTCCTCACTAATCGGACTCGTTACTTCCGATGTTCAGCGTTCAAAGTAGAGTTATCTTTTCCTAAATGTTCGATAAAAAGGAATTAGTGGGTAGTGATTTAGCAAGTAGAAAATGTACAGAACATATATGAAGATACGCAATAAGTTTCAAAAATTAGTTCAAGGTTGTTTTAAAAGGCATGTAACTTTGTGAAGACGAAAAGGAAAATATAAATTCCGTATTGACACAATACACTAGAAACTGAAACAAGAAATCTTTACAAATATTCGCATCACTGTAGATAACATCTAACATTGTTTTAAAAACAGAATCATCAGAAGAAAATATATTTCACGCGATTACGTCAAAATATATTAGTGGTGATGGTGTGATTATTAAGTGATTGGGGGATTTGTGAGTGAGTGGTCAGTAAAAAACATAAATCAAATGTATTAATTGGTTTTCTATGGATATTAAGACTTCCTTCCTTTATCCTACTCTTGTTTTAATTCTCCTTTATTTCTTTTTATCATGTTTGAACAACTGCAAGTCTTTAGGATAAAATATCTAGTCTAGGGACATAGGTAAGTCATTTACAATCTAGGAAAACAAATATTAAGTCTTTTGCATAAAATTTGAAAATTCAAATGATTTTTTTTGTTTAGATCATGCAAAATAAACAACCGGAATATCTATGTTCATAACATTTAGACTGACAAATAGAAATTATTTTATGCTACCATGGAGATAAACGATGATGTTAAGCGTGTTAAACAATCAGCTGTTTTATTCAAATTGTGCATAACAGCCTGATGTGTTGGTGAGAATAAACATATTTTCTTGTTTGGTTATATGAGGCCCATGAGACAGGACCGTAGGACAGGAAAGCAGTTGTATTAATCAAGTCCAAGTATTGATTAGCTAGCTTAGATTACTTATATACTTTTAGTGACCTTCAACTAACCAATGACATTTTAAACGTGGGATATCCGAGAGCAACACCAAGTTGACTATTGGTCCGGAATATAGTTTTCTACGCTTGCTTGCCCGATATCCAGAGTGGAGAACAACTTAGCAACCAAACAACTTCTAATTATACAATTAGAATTTCTGAATCATCCATACAGTAGTATGGAGCAAAATCCTGATCACATATCAACAGAATTAAGAAATTATAATATTGGCATAAATACACCATAAGTGAAAGAATATTAAGTGGTAGGTCCGTAATAGATTAACAATAATTTAGGAAGGGTAAAACACACAACAATAATTTATGCGTCAAACAAAAGCTTTCATGTAGAGAAATACATGAGCACAATAGTTTAAGTATTTAATAGTTATTCAAAAAAATGTGAACAATAACTTCAAATAAGGACCGTTAAGAAAGTTTACCTTTGCTTAATATCTCTCTCGACGTAATACGAACGAGTCAGCTCTATCCCTTAATCTTTATTTTGAACTCTTAGTCCTAAACTAAACTAATTTGGTAGCACTAGAATTCATGAACAAACTAATTAGGTTAATAATAGGATTAAATGGATTTTTTATATGAAATTCATGCATCTATAAAGCTGCAAACGATTTTTGTGTTAGCAGATGATGTCGGTTTGTGATGAGAATGTTAACTTTGAACTTTTTTATCCCTAACCCTAAATACCTAATTCTAACCAAAGAAGTTAGAGACTTAAAAATCAATTTGCATTCTGTTAAGGTTTCAAGATAACGGATAATCTGTGTTCTGTTACATGAGTTTATATTCTATAGTTTTTTCACTCACGAACAAAGTGACCTGTTGAGAACTTTAGTCGATGAGAATTCTTCGTATTTACTTTAAGATCGTCTATATACTATACTTTTGACGTCTTGAGTGTTGTAGCGCAGTAGTGATTGAAAAGTTCGGTTTTTATGCACCAAGAGAGCTGGTTTGAAGTTGATTTTGTTACTTACTGTGAGATCTATAAAAAACGAGTTGCAATATATTAGTCTCTAAGATTAGTAAACAAATACAAATTACTATTTGTAGCATTCATGCTTCAGTTGATAATTTGATCGCCAATTTATGCATAAATCTTATCTAAAATTACGTTGTAATTATAGAAAACAAATTAAATACTCACAGTTTATGAACATGAAATTGCCGTGTTTCTGTGTTTCATTCAGACCGAAATAAAAAATAAATTCTTTAATTATATGAATGTAAAAAAGATACAAGACTGTTATTTTTGTAGATTATAATGTTCGACGAAAGTAAACTTTTTTAATTTTAGCTGAGTTTTAAATATACACACCAGAAAGCAAAAGAAAAAAAGAGAGATAAGAGCTAACCGGAACTAACAGTACATGGAATAGCACTCCCTAAACGAAATGAAGTCACAAAAATAATAAGATGAAACTTAAGTTACTTAATTATAGAAAAGTAGTTTGTAATGTAACACTAAACAAATGATAAGTATTTATACGACTATTCGTCAAGATTAGAACGAATAGTTTGACAGAAATCGGGTGTCGAGTAAAGAGAAGTCATTATATGTGAAAAATATATTTGAAATAATCTCAGCGTTTGAAATTTAAGTAATTCCAACGTTTTGTCTGGTTAACCCTGAACAAGTCCGGACAAGTTAGCTGGGCGAAACGTTGGAGTTATTTAAATCTCAATCTCTGAGATTATTTCAAATATAATTTTAACATATACTGAAAACGATAAGTAGATTGTGTTTAATTTTTTTAGACTTATTTAACACATGGTAACACTTTAGATCAAATTTTTTAAGTAGAGCAGCTATGGAATTCTAAACTCAGATTTGAATGAATGACATGTGATGTATGGTTGTAGATAACCTTAAACAAGAAGTAGGCCATAATTATAGTTTTATCACTCATTAACAAGGGACATAGCTGGAATCTAAGTAGAACAAAGGTTTTGCCTCAGATTTAAATTCATTGTGTAACGTCACTTTGTTTCGTATTTCATCACAGATAGAATTTGATCAATACTAACAGTTAGGAATTATGATACAGGTAATCGATTAATTACAACGGACAAGTCTTGAAAATACCACTAAATTTGATGTCTGGTATTTCTCTTAATGTAATCACTAATTATTAAGATATTATGTTCACTCGATAATGTGATATTGTAGTCAAAATAATAAGGTTAAATTTATAATGCTGAAATATGTGGAAGATACAACTCATAGTATGAATAATAAGGGAATAAATCACACCTTGTGATAAACAAAGGTAATTTTAATAAATATTGTGATTTTTTGACACTAAGTCGAAATTTTTGTACTATTTTTGTGTTAGCGTTTCTAGTATACTTTTAAATAGCCTATTAAGTAATAGTAATTATAACCATCCTGTGAAGATCCTAGACTCAGGTTCGAGCCTCATAAGGAATATCAGTTATTTTATGAATACAAGCTTGCTACGCTGATTGAAGAGTTCTAACTAGCATAAAACCTAGTCTAGGGTGTCTTACTGGCTATCTTCAATTATCGAACTCATTGATAGACATTTTATTTGCTCTCCTACTTAAGGTCTTTCAAGTACTTTAAATCAATGTTTGGAGACGTTGGGTTAGATTGGTCAAACTATGTCATAGTCATTGTTAATCGTTCACTATCATTTTTGTACAAATCTTAAATGTATGGTTTCATTCTGAATTTCGCATTTTTTAAATTTTGTGTACCATTTAAAATTGTATTCATGTTTAAATTTCCATTTAATTACAAAGTAAAATTCTGTCTATTAATTTATATCTTGGTTAACACCACATTTTTGTTCTACTGATAAGAATTATAACAAATCCATGGTCCTTCTACGCATTGTTGATAATTGATTAAGTAGTAAATGAAATTGAGACATTATATCACTCAAAATAATAATTGACATAATACAACTAATGATAATATGAGAAAGATAAAATTATAATTTTTTAAACAAAGATAAATAGACATCATATACTACTTACTTGTCAATAATTCAGTTGTTGAAATCTAAAATACGTGTCTTTTAGCATGTATATTTTAGAGTTGATGGCAACCAACAGAGTTCGTTACACAATAAATACTTTGCAGTTAAATAGGTAATATATTGTTTCATGTATGCACACCTACATAATGATGGTAATCAGAATAATAAACGTTATAGAATACATAAGAACATACGAAAATACTGTTCATTAGAACCAAGGTTGGTGTTGAGTCTATCGAGGCGTCCGAATCATCCAATTGAGATCTACGCAAAAAGCGAAGTTCACAAAGCAAGAATTTGTCTAAAATAGAGGTTTTTTATTGAATAATTTAAAAAAATTAGTTACAAACCTCAACTTGTGTGGTGTCTATGGCGTTTACTGTGTCCTTTTGTCTGAAATGAAAAGGCTTCGACAGTGCAAAAATGACAGCCTTTGGTTCTGTTTAAACTTGATAACTGTTTATCAGCAAGCAGAAATCGAACTAAGAGCAAGTAATATGGAAACTGTTGCGTTTAAACGAGAGTTAAGCGATTGCACAAAATTGAGAATAACTGCCACAGTGGTTGAGATAAAGTAATTATAGTGATAATTATAATAAATATTTTAAGTATATGTAAATATTTCAAAATATTACACGACAAACTTGCGTTACAGCATGTGCGTAGAAATAGCTAGGAATACAACTATTTACTGAATATTAATAAATAGTATAAAACAATACACAAAGTAGTCGAAGGGAAGTGAATAAGGACAGATAACGTAAAACAGACTTACCAGATGGTTTAGATGGTTATTAATAACTCGTTTTATTTGATATATATAAGGTCATTATCGATGTGAAACCTTGCACAAGTGTGCATTTGTTTAAGTCGCGACACTTTACATTGACGTAGCAAAACGAGTGGTTTGGGATGGGAAATGACATAGAAATTAATGGAAATGTAAGTAGGAGAAATGGTTCAAAAGAATTAAATGTGGTGAAAGATTGAAGAGTTAAGCATAATACCAGCTTGTATTTGTAGAACATAGAGAAACATATCATTGTTTCTGAATTTTCGCCAATATTGTTTAGGTCATCTGAACTGATGACACGTTGTCTCCACCTGGCCTTTTGAAGATTTACAGTCTGCTTTTATTTTGGACACTAATTTATAACAAAGCAATGCTTGTGATGGATTTCTATATTCTCCGAGTGTAATAGTTTGCTTCAAGACTAGTCTATGTTTATCCGTGGTCGGACATGGTGATCATTTCTCACTAATCTTAGAATTCTTGCCAGTTATTTTGGGCTGACGGACGACAATATCTGGACACAGAAACAAAAATCCCTCTTCATTTTTACCGTCTTGTAACAAGTAGGGAAGGTTTATCCGACTATCAAGTGGTGAGTATTCTAAACAATGAAAATTGAAATCGAAAACAAAAGGTTTGCATGAACTTTAGCAATGTGATCATTAGTGTTTTTGAGGCAACCTATTATGTGAACAATACTGACACCACTTGTAAATTACTATGCAAAAATGACAAACAGATCAATGATGTTGTAAATCTTCGTTAAAATAGGGGGTGGAGAAATGTAATACATTATTTAATTACAGTGTACCCTGATTTTGTACTGACTAAATTTAGGTTGAATAAATTTTAAAGATGATCAGAAAAAGGAACATGGCTCCAAATAGATTATAAAATCATGAGCTTTTAGTCTATGCCCCATCGGGAGATACAGATCTTCTGGATGTGATTAATTAGATAATGATAATCCCGATTTTCAGACCTTAAGTGAGCTAACAGGAAATCAGTGATTATAACACATGTGTTCACTCTGAGATTCTATGTAAGTCTGACAAGTATTTATTTATTAATTTATTTTCGTGTCTCAATTTCACTCATCTCCCTTGAACTATTTTTCTGATTCACTTCTGAAGAGTCTCATACCAGGACGAAAGCGCTATTCAATTTTTACAGGTTTCCAATGATTGTCTAAACTAGATCGGTTTGTAATCTCAGTAATACTCAACAACTTTCACAATCCCCATACTGAACAACATTCTGTACTATCATTTTGGACATTTTATTTTATTTCCCTCTAATTATCATTAGTTCTTCCTCATTGCATTTAAATTCATGTTAAGATTGAACAGTTTACATGAACAAACCCCCGTTATCCTATAAATAAATTAACTTATTAAGAAATCTTGTATAATTACAAAGTTAAACAAAATTGACACGTTAAGTTTTATTGATTTTATCAATTGTTCTATTTTCTTCACAGGTATTAGTCTGTCCAATATGCACGAAAAATTATAATTCTGAAACATATTTAGCAAAACATGTGGATCGTCATAAAGAGGCTGCTGCTACGGCTGGTATGGACGGAAATGGTTCAAACACTAATAATGGTAACAATAGTAATAACACTAATCGTAATAATAACAACAATAGTAATAATGTACGGAACCAAACATGTGTGGATAATCTATTTGCTGCTGGTTTCCATAATCATTCAGTTGCAATGGCTGCCGCTGCTGCGTCAGCACTTAGTCGAGGAAATATGATTGAGTCAGGTTCAGGTTCGCATATAACCGGTAGCCGTCATTCACATGGGAGTGGAGGAGCAGGCGGTGGCGGCAGTATTCATTCACACAATCCACACCCTTCTGCTGCTGCTGCCGCCGCTTCAGCGGCTGCGGCGGCTGCTGTCGCTGCAGCTCATGCACATCAAGACTTACATCTACGTGCTGTAGCGGCCGCGGCTGTAGCGAGTGGTAATGGAGTAGTTGGAGTTGGTGTTGGCAATCGTAGTGGTGTTAATGGTGTTAGCCTTGGTAATGGTGATATTGAGAATCCATGCGCTTTTTTTAGTCCAAATGTAATATGTTCCAGTGAGACACGAGTGACTAGTTCTAATGAGTGTGATTTATTACATAATAAATTAAATTATAGCTCAATGTCCAGTGCTGGATTATTTCATCATTTACCGGTAGGAGGTGTCCATGATTCAAATGTTGAACATTTAACCGCTGCAGCTGTAATTGAACAACAACAGCAACAACAACAGTGTCTTGTATCTCATCGTCATCAACAAGGAACACATTTTACTACAGATGATAATCAACATATAAATTCGTTTAATCATTCAAATATCATGAATAATATATCATCAAATCATCATTCACAATCTCAACAACAATATAATCATCATCATAATCATCCTCAACAACAGCCACAACACCAACAGCATATTCACACGAATCAACGTAATCTTCATTCATCGTCGTCCTCCTCATCATCATCTTCGTCATCATCATCTAAACGACAGTCTAATATGAAATCATCTTTATCACCGCAATCAAATCATCGTTATACTGAGTCACCAGTAACAAATGATTCACAAACTCAACAACATTTACTCAATTTAACACAACATCATTTGACAACTACAAAACATCTTTGTTCTTTATCAATTGAGCCGTCGACGGTTGTGGCATCATCAATGGATTGTTATATTTCAACTCGGACTACTTCAACAACACCACCGAAAAAAATGACAGCAGTGACCAATGGTACTAATAATACTACTACTACTACTACTTCTACCACTAGTACTACTACTACTGCTAATACTACTCAACAACATTCACATATTCATGCAACAATAAATAATAATAATAATAGTATCAGTAACAATGGTAATAGTAGTGATGATACCATTCATATCAAACATTCACATAATGAATCAATGTCGTCACAGCTTCTACCGCCTCCGGCTCACCAACATTGTTTACAACCGACTCAAACTAATCATTTGACTGGATCTCATACATTTGTAGAAGGGGTTGATAATAATGGTAGTAACGATAGTAATAATAATGAAAAATTGTCGGAAACCTCGAATTCTACGACTAATAGTCACTCACAACATTATCATCATCCTCAACAACTACGTATTGGATTATCACAAGCTCATTCCAATCAAACATTATTACATAATCATGTAAATAATAACTATTCATCAGCACCAACATCACCAGGTGTATTCAATTCAACAGGTGGTGGCTTGTCAACATCATCGGATAATATATCAACATTTGAAGAATTTAGTCAAAGTTTAGTGAAACTTGATCATAGAGATTCTATCAGTAAGTGGTTTAATAATGATAGAATTAAAGATATTAATAATAATGTAGTAACTAGTAGTAAGAAGAACAATAGCAACGAAGTCAGTTATTGTGATGACAATCATGATGATAATGATGATGAAATGGAGCACATGAATGAAGATAACCATGAATCACTCATTAATGTAATCAACAATGATAATGTTGACACTTCAACAAATAGTAATAACAATAATAGTATTAAGAATGATATTAGTACATCTAATCTTATGTATGACTTTTTATTTCATGGAAATTCAAATATTGATGATAATGAACAAAGTGAAATAATCAATAAATCAAATCACCATATAGAAATTATTGATACCCATGGGGTTGAACGCGAAGAACAGCCCGACACTGTGACCGATTGTGTTTTGAATTACGAAAATCATTTGAGTAAAGCTGAAAAAATCATATTTAACGCTGAAGAATCTCCACTCAATGGAAATCAAGTCTGTCAACCTATATCATCATCAGTGTCAGGAACAAAATCAATAACAACGGGATCACGATCATCACCGATTTCATCGCAAATTTTAACACAACGACTAATAACATCCGTGGAGACCAAATCATGTAATGGTAACCTTCATAATGGGATACCGCTATCAAGGTCATCATCGTCATCATCATCATCATTATCATCACCAGGAATCGAGCCTATTAGAACCGATGATGTGACTTCAAATACATTGAAACATGGACAGTATACTTGTCAGTTAACCGGTGACAATAGTGAACGTAATGCACTTGATAATGAGTCTATGTTAAATCTTCAACATGAATCATCTAACTTACATGACGTCAATGAAACCGATGATCAACATATTATGTCTAATAAGTTAAAATCAATCGATATGGAACAATTATTCCCCAGTAATAATGATAATAATAACGAGGACATAACTAATTTGGATAACATTAACATTAGTGACAAAATTATCTGTGAGAATTTACAACTGAATAATAACACTGATACAACTCTAATGAATCATCGTTCATTGAAACGTAGTTTATCCTCAAACGACAATTACCAACATAATCGTTTGAAAAATCGTCATCATCAAACAGAAAATCATGATATGGAGAATGGTGATGAATTCTTGACTATATCATCATCATCATTACATCATAAACATCATAATATTATCAATAGTAGTAATGAGAAGAATTCAATGAACATGTTATCATTAACATCACCAGCGAATATATGTGATGTAGATAATGTTGATCATGATGGTGATGACGATGACGATGATGATGGTGATGGCGAAGATGCAGATAATGACATTGATGATAAGAATACTGTTTTTGATGATAATGACAATGTTGATATTAATCAAAAAACTGTTGTAAATAAAACCAATGAAAATAATAACAATGATACTGTCGGTTGTAATGTTGATGATCATCTACAAGCAATGTATCATTTAAAATCAGAGTTCAATGATCAAACTCCATTTTATTTAGGTGAAAAAAGTCAACCAGAAGAAACTGTAGATCAGAATTCTTCTTTATCGTCAACAGTTATAGAGAAACAACATTTAGAAACAATGAATTCTAGTAAACGAAGACGTCGACATCAGTACACACCACAACATTTGCCTGTGTTTGAATTGAACACAAAAGATACAATAGAAAAATGTAAAAATAATAATACTAACAGTACTACTACTACTTCTACCAATACTACTAGTAATAATAACAATAGTAAAAATGCACATGCTACAGTAATTGCAGGCTGTTTTACAAATCGTCGTAATAAAAATGGTCATAGTATTTTAGAAAATGGTGATAGCAAATGTTTAAAGAAAGAAAAATTAAATGATAAACCCAATACAATAGATAACAATAATTTTAACAAAGATGGTGGTAATCTTAGTAGTAATGATACTAATAATAAGTCAACGAATAGGGAATGTTATTTTCCTGCTTTTTAAATAACATTTGTTTATTTTTATTGACATGAAAAGAAGAGACTGTACAGTTTGATTGATATATGAGAGTTTCGGTTCTTGGGAATATTTACTAATTGTTATCTCAATTCAAATTTTAAACATTCTAATATATATATATATATATATATATATATATATATATATATATACGCTGGTTTTGCTTTAGATTACAAAACAGATGACCCCCTTTCCACAAACCCCATACTTTTTTAACGTGCTACTCTATTCATTTTTCTTTTATTCACTAAAATCATCGAATATCCCGGTCATAAATATGCTTTTTTGATTCGTCTTATAGATTATTATTGTTGTTATTATAAGCGTTAATAAGACTTTATGTCATACAAAAAGATATTTAAATAGAACTTTCTTACATATTTCAAAGGTGGGGACAGTTTTTTCAGTTAAAGTATACTACTCATCTATGTTTAAGTAGGTCAACGAACAATGTAAAAAATATCACTGTTTGTCAGTACATTTAATTGTGATTTGGTTTATCATCAGTTTTAATCCCTATTTTCACATATTCATGCGCATATTTCAGAATTACCAATAAAACAAATGAAAATTAATGGGAATTATTTTTTCATAACCTTGAATAAACAAACGAGTTATTACTATTATTGTTCTTATTATTAATATCATCAGATTATTAAGTTTCATCATACCTCATTTCATAAATAATTATTTAACTAATAGTGTAACATATTTTTTGTTCATTTTCATGACATTACGCATACACATTATACCGGTATTTCATTGAACTAACAACGTATGGTACTTTTGTGCACTTCACCAAATTTGAAATATAAATTATTTTTAAAGCAAAATATAGTTTATCCTTTATACGTTCAACCGAAATTGGAATTGGCTGAAAAGTGAAGAAATGAAAATCATAAAATTTTGGATAAGATTTGGGAAGATTAAATGGAAATAGAAAAAGAACTCCAGAACAAGGAATAATAAGGAAACTTGACCCTTTCTCTCTTTGCAAAATGATAAATAAAAAAGGTATTATTTAAGAGGAAAGATCTATCATATTTTTCTACGCTTCATTTCTTATATATATATATATATATATATATATATATATATATATCTTAAGAACAACTCTCAGTTTGCCAATACCTTTTAAAATATGTACACGTATATATGTGTACTCATTTATTAAGGAAATTTATTTTTGTTTACGGATCACTTTACAATTTACTGAAGGAGTAGTAAAATGAAAAGAATTGGAATTAGGTTACTTTGTGTTTATTTGAGTTGCTCTTCACTCTGCGCACCACTAACCCACTACCGATATTTAGTAATAACTATATTGACTGTTTTTTGTCATTTACTATCTTATCATCAAGAGTAGCATTATCAATATTGTATTTGTCACGATATGTTTGGATTTACTGTTTCATCACATTCGTATTGTCCTTACTATCCCGTCCCGTTGATAATATTTATCTTCATTGATCGCATAATACATTTACGTATACACATTAAAACATTGAAAGTAATCTAAAGTCATCTTACCAGCAAAATGTTGAAAATCTTACTTTATACCATTTGGCAATATACAAATCATGTATGTGTTATTTTATATCACAAAACCATTGTCCCTCCTCTCTCCATCAATTGCTCTTCTGTATGTAGATAAGCAGAAACCAGCCTTAAAATCAAACGATCAATGTAAAAATGTTTATTTCAACCGTTTTTTTTATTTACTTATAATGAATGTTGTGTTTGAGTAAAACAAGTAGAACAATGATCATTATAAATTAAAATTGAAAATACACAAAGAATATTTATTAGAATGATATGATGATATTTTGGCTATAATTATTGTCATTTGTATGATATTGTATTTTGTTAAATTTCAGTCTAAATAATATTAATGCAAAGTGATTGACTGTTTTATTGAATCCAATATTATCACACCTAATCAAAAATATATCTGTATCAGAAGAGGTTTTGGAGATATTATAGTAATTTTAATAGTTGAGATCATTAATCAATTAAAGCTACACCACCATGAAAAACCTGGAAGCACTGAACAATCGTTTTGTCTTATTGTTGACTCCTCAGCAGTGCGCATCCACGATCCCACCTCGCGAGATTCGAACTAAGGACTTACATTTGTTTAAAGTTTTCTTTTTTGCCTCTTAATAGGATACGTTACATGTGTGTTTCAAGAAAAAAACAAGACCGGGAAATAGAATGATTATCCATAAAGATGTTAGCGCGTGTATTTATGTTAAATCATTTAGCGTTGTCTATCATTTAAATCATTACTTACTGATCAGTTGGTTTGTGCGTATCTTCAATAGAAAGAATTCAATTAGCTGTGTTAGAAATCTAAAATTATATATTTGTAGATTACTACATATACTGTGCATGAAATGTAATTTTCACATTTATCCTTCAGATCATTCATTCACTTATCTGTTTGTTTGTCTTTATCGATTGGTACAATTTCTATCTATTGAACTTCGTTCTATTTATTCGCCTGTCTCTGATATTCTTTTCCCCATATCCTTCTCACACAAAAATAGTAATCACATATACGGCTCTTGGAAAATGATATATTTGCATTAACTATATCTCTGGTGAAGTCAATTTAAAGTTTAACTTGTTTCATCACTCACCAGTTCTTCTTGTTCTCCCTCCCTCTCTCTCTCTCTCTCATGTTCATTTTACATTAAGGAACCCAGTAACTGAACAAAATTCATCTATTTTTAAAAAAAATAAAATATACGTGAACTTTTAACCAGAACAGAAACTTTTAGCCAATCATTACAGACATTAGATGTTTTCAGACGAGAAAATTCTAACACTAGAAGATGAGTAAATATCTTTAGTGCAAATTATGTGTTAAAGGATGTTTTTCTAAATATAATTCAGACGAGCTCATAAAAGAAATACGTGATGAAAATTACTTTATTATTATTACTACTATTGTTATTGTCAATTACTTTTTGTACAGACTATTATCTCTACCATCACATTTGGTGCCTCACTCTCGTTTATTGTCGAACAAGAAAAAAACATCAATGAGAAGATGTCATTGAACTTTTTTTTTAAATGTCACCTTTTTTTTCATTTTGTTCTGTTTTCTTCTTCAGGAAAAACTTGTTCCAGTGGATATAAGATCATATTCTTTTCGTCTATTTTGTCAAATTGTTCACAGTTATTTTATTCGAGTTCTATTTTTTACACGATCATATAAGTTTTAGTGTTACATTTTGACTACTTACAAGTAGTAATGACTCATAATCTATAAAAGTGAGAATGAATTGATAATGAAGACTTAACCATTAATTGTAAAGTTATACACAGAATTTTAGCAATGTTAGAATATTTTGACAAGACTAAGTGGTTTGGAGTTTGAGACAAATCGATTTTTCTTTGATAGAACACTGAGGTAGTTATAAGACTAAAAACTCCCGGACACACCAACCAACGACAAAGTTGTGCGCACAAATTGCATGTAAGTTCATAAGATTGCTTAGCGGAAGTTGTAATTCTAGAACTTATGTCTACCAAAAACCAGTTTGTTAATACAGGATTAAGTAAAAGAATAACACTGAACACTTCATTGATCTGGATACTTCATTAGTAAATCGAGACACTGATTCCAGGGATAACGTATTTATATGCACGTTCTGAGTACATTGTCCTACTGCAATGTATAATATTGTAGATTACCAACGTAGATTATCTGCGTCGAATAACTGTATGCCTATTCAAGTTAGACGAGAATGGTTTGAACAACCAGCTAACGTCAAAGTCATACCTCGCGGTTAGTACCTAACATGGATTACCCTTTCATTATATCCAAGTTCTATGACTGCTTTGATGACCCTACGACACAAACGACGTTATTATAGAAATATGTTAATAAGAGAAGGTACATGGAACAGAGTGTGACCAGTGTTGCATGAGCCATTTCATGGCGTACAATTAACTAAGGCGCCCTGGCTGTTCTTGACCTTGACCAGGATCAGTGAACTGTCCGAAATTCTGTGATATTTCACTGGCTTTACAGTACTAATTAAAAAAGAAAACAAGAAAATGTAAAGGCTTTCGAATCAAATATATGAGTCACATAATGAATTTACTTTATATTACATCATAAGATATAAGCATTGTAATAGTCAACAGATTACATCTTGGAGTTCAAAGCATTTATCAGTCTAAATCGAAAGTAATCACAATTATTCAGACTTATCCCACTAAATAATAAGCCTATTATTGTTATTAACCTGTTTATTCCTTCAAAACTGATGTCTTGTGTCTTTTTTAATCCGTATTGATATTAAGCGCTGAATAGCTAGGTTATTGCAAAATAAACAGATGTTATGATTATGATTTTACAGAGTTCTACGTTGTAGTTTTTGTCAGACCACTATGGTGGTCTTTTTGTCATAGTTGTACAACTTTCAGTTACACCGTTAATCAAGATAATTAATAAACTTTATGTTTAAATAAATCTTATACATAATAACTAATAATACTCTTAAAAAGCAATCTTTTGAACGTACATCTGGCTAACAGCAAATTTTCCCGTAATATTTGAGGTTATTGAATCAGTGCTCACAACACAGGCTGTATGTGTGTTTGTGGAGAGGGGGGGGTAAAGTACACAATGATCCATTATCTCAAGCTAAAATGCGATAAGTTCAACTACTTTCAAACGGTTGAATATCATCCACTTTTTATTTTCTCTCAATAACAAGAAATAGTAAACTGTAAGATACTTTGATTATTATAAATTCATTTACTGTTATGCCCCGATAAGAATAATGAATGGTAACTTTGGGATCCATTTGTGGACCAATACTATACTTATATTTTTACCGCATAATTGTTGATCAACTAAACTATTCATACTCATGTCTCTCTTATCATAGGCTTTATTTTAACCTATAAACTGTTATTATACGATTTTCCATTCTTGAATTACTCCTTGTCTATTAGTCACTGCCTCC